GAGGCTGGGCAGTGAGGATGTCCCATGTCCTGGCTCTGACTTCCTCACAACTCTTTTTTCTTTGACGTGGGCCATCTCTTGTAGCCTTTGCCCTTTCTTAGCTCCCTCTCTTTAGTCTGCTGGTGTCACTTGATGGTCATTTACTGCTGTTCTAAGAGATACCAGTTGGGAGGGACAGGAGCTCTCCTTCCCTCACCCTAACTGCTCCATTTCATGGCTCTGTAAGCAGGTCACTAGCTGGGTAAATGTTCCATGTGGTGGTTGCTCCCCATCTATATCTTTAAGCCCAGACCCTGGGCCAAGGTGTAACTAGTTCCTGAATCCAGCCTCCCTTGCTCCCAGGGGTTGCTGCTCCTCACCCAGGTTTCATCATCTACCTGTAGTGCTGTGGTTGTCCCTTCCAGGCCACCTTCCTGCTGGCTTCCAGACTCAGCTCTCTAAAGGACACTTCTGGCCAGGTTACTCAGCTAAACTGCAGATAGTGGTTTGCCATCTCTGCACTGAGTCCAGAGAGTTAACATGGCCTTAGAGATCCTTCCATATCCAGCCCCTGTGCACCTCCTCTTCTCATCCCTCCTGTACTTTTCAGGAAGAGCCTCCACCCCATAGATCTAAACTTGGTGGATGGGTGGTGCCTGCAGCCTACAGATTCCTCTGCTGTTTTGTATATGCTGTTCCCTCTGGCTGGAAATCCATTCTTCCTACCCTCAGATTTGGTTAGCTCTGCTTCAGTTTGCTGACTTTCTCCTTTATTCTCCCATCTGTTGAGTGATTTTTTTTCTCCTTTTGGGCATCTTTTTTTCTTTGAAGCTGTTTGTTTGCCCACCACACCTTCACCTCTCACTGGACTGTGAACTTGCTGAGGAAAGATTTTATTCTTGTTTATCCCAGCAGTGCCAGAGATTTAGGCAGTTGGTAAATGTAGATAGTATGTGGGTGGGGTAGATGAGTGGATGGTGGTGGTGGGTGTGGTGGGGATGAGTATATCTGCTTATTGTCAAGCCCCTCCTTTGCCTTAATTGTTTATTGTGAAGATTTATCTCTTTTGTTTTAGTTTTCAAAGAAAGGGAAGGAAAGGAAAGATAGAATGCAAATGATTTGTGTGAATTCCCCTAGGAGAAGCCATACCTTGTGCCTCAGTTCTCAGACATCATCACTCAGGAGTCTCCATTCATGTTTTGTTGAAATATGAACTGGGGTTTCAGAAAGAGGTATTTCACAACAGATGCTTAGACCAGGAAGCCACTGAAATGAGTGTGGTTGCAATATGCCCCATTTTACACCAATTAAGCAGAGTTCTATGCTTCTGGCCCATGGCCAACACAGACCCAGGGGACTCAGCACTTGGATCTGTAGTTCACTACCTGCATAGCCTTACAACAGTCCTTTCAGTGACTTTAATATAGTAGATGTCATGCACTAAAATACAGGTTTCGTGTTGAAAATTTAATTTAGTCTGGTATTTTCTTTCTAAATGCAGTCAGTCTTCAGCTACCTTGAGAAAGGGGACGGTTGCCCTGGTTGGTGCTGCTCAGTGGTTAGAGTGTCGCCCAAGCACTGAAGGGTCTCGGGTTTGATTCCCCGTCAAGGGCACATACCTAGGTAGCCCCTTTGATCTCCAGCCCCGTTGGGGCACATGTGAGAAGCAACCAATCAATGCGTTTCACATTGATGTTTCTCTCTTTCTCTCTCTCTCCCTCCCACCCTCTCTAAAAAAAAATCAATGGAAAAAATATCCTCCGGTGAGGATTAACAAAAAAAAAAGAGGGATGGTTATGACCCTCCAACCTCCCACCTTTAAAAAAGGAATAGAGATTTCAATGTCATGTCTTTGGGTTTGCTGTTGTATATGGTTATGTAATAGATCTATATACTTTAATTCACATAAAACTTTTAGAACAAGCCTGGCACATGGCACATAGTAAATACTGGTTAAATACTAGCTAGCTTGATTTTTTTTTCCAGATAAAAACATCTGAAGCAGTTTCATTTCATAGTTCTAAAATTCTTTACTGAGACAAAGTTCAGCACCCTTCTTTCTCTCCTTTTAAAGAATGCTCTTCCCTGGGTCAGTTTTTTTTTCAGCCTGGAGAGCACCACCTATGGGCCTCAGTGCTGGGGTTGTGGCAGCTATTTGAATAACCATCTCCTAAGACACGTGCATGGTCTCACTCAGTACTCACCCCCATCCCTTACCAAGTGTTGTCATCTGCTCCCTAGAGGGAGGGTGTGGGGGGTTAAATGACTTTCCCAAGGTCACCCAGATAAGTGACTTGAGCTAGAAACTTTGCTGGCTGCTAAGAGCATTGTCGGGGGTTGGTCTTGACTTTATTTTCTGAATGCAAGAACAACAGTGTACAGTGAATTGGGCCTGTGGTAGGTAGGTGTAATAACTTGGAAAATGCTAAAGCTGTTGCTGATCTATGCTTACAGCTTTAATTTGTTCCTAATTTGGTCACAGTGCACTCTAAGAAAACACCCACATGTCTAAGAAAACACCTACTAGTCCCCTTTCATGTAAGTATCAATTTCTATAAGAAAGATATTTTTACTTTGGTATTTAGGTAAAAGTACTGGTAAGAAGTTGACATATTTATAAACAATCAAGAAGTAGTTACTGTGAAAGTCTCCTGATACATTGTGCTGGAACTTTTTTTTTTTAATGGAGGTCATAATTGTGGTTGTCTTGTAGGTTTGTTTTTTTTAATATGTTTTTATTGATTTCAGAGAGAGGAAGGGAGGGGGGAGAGAAATAGAAACATCAATGAGAGAGTCATTGATCAGCTGACTACTGCAGGCCTCTTACTAGGAATTGGTCTGCAACCCTGGTATGTGCCCTGACCCAGAACTGAACTGTGATCTCCTGGTTTAGGTTGATGCTCAACCTCTGAGCCACGCTGGCTGGGTTGGAACTACTTTCAATTGCAATATAGGACACTTTCAGTGTGATAAGTTTCCCATTTTCTCTTTCAGATAGTGATGATTTTCAGGAAATTTGGGAGGGTTTTATAAGGAAAAATTTCCAAAGAGATGGACCACAGCTTCAGGTAGGTGAGAGGTTGGTGAAGCCCCGAGATAAAGGACAGCAGTATGGACCAGGAGGAGTTGATTGCTTATTAGGAACAAGCCAGAAATTCAAGACCCCATGTAAGAAAGTTTAACCCCAATACTTAAGCTGTGGATTTCAAAATGAAATTATATTACAATGAAGAATTCTTGCCTTGAGTTGAATATTTATTCGTCAATGCCAACTTGTGGAGATTGGCTTTATTGCAGATTACATAGTTCAGGAAACATCTTGGGGCAACCCTGGATGTCATGTGCTCTAATTGGAGTCCAACAGTTTTTTTGTCATTTCTGAGACGTGTAATGTCTTCTTTCTTGATCTTTCCAAGTGGAATATTTTCAAGATTATTGTCCATTTCTGAAAAGTGTTATTAACATCATGTGAAAAGCACAAATGAACGTTGTCTTCCCATCTTCTTTTTCAGATAGTGATGATCTTCAAAATGAAAGCTCCAGAAACTTTTGAGTTCTCTATAGGAACTACAAAAATTGAAGGAAAGAAAATGTTTAAAAGGAAATTATTTTGAAACTATGTTTACAACTAACTGATACTGTTCACAGTTTTTAAAAATAAAACCGTTTAAGAAGATTGTATTTATGGTAAGAAGAAACTGGACTAACAATGAGGCCAAAGACTTTTCCTGCCACGACTTACTCTGGAAACAGTCGGCAGCGACTCCAGGAAATTCGTGAGGGGCTGAAGCAGCCCTCGAAGTCTTCCACTCAGGGGCCGCCTGTGGGACTAAGCGACACTTCCCTGGACACCAAGGTCCTGGTGAGCAAGGATGTTGCCCGGCAGCAACAACCGAGAGCTGCCCCAAAGTTTGGCCCATACCAGAAAGCCCTGAGGGAGATCCGATACTCCTTGTTGCCCTTCGCCAATGAATCAGGTCCCCCCGCAGCTGCAGAAGTGAACCGACAGATGCTACAGGAGCTGGTGAATGCTGGCTGTGACCAGGTGGGTGAGCTCCCAGGGCTGGTGTGGACTTCACAGTAAGGGTTCCCCATGAAGGAGCTTTGAGTGGTTCACTACTCAGAGAAGGGTTTCCAGGTTAGAAACCCAAAGCCCTCTATGTGGATCATTGAACTGTTCTCCACTTTCTTTCCAAAAGGGTCTTTTTAGCTGCTTTTCCTGTTCAGGCAAGATCCAGAAGTTTCTGAATACTGCTGAGTTGGACCCCAGTGTATGTCCTGTTTTTGTCCTTGACAAGGGCTCTCTCATGGAGTCTTTTCTGTGGGGTTTAGTTGGGCTTATTCTAAACTGTCCTGGGGAAGAGGAGACTGGTTTCCCTTGTTTTTGGTTTGTGCATTTTTAATTTTTTACTTAGTAAAGGGAAGGTTGATTAACACAAATTGGCAATTCCTTAACTGTTTTCTGCTATTTAAAAAATAGTTGATATGCTGTTATAAGAGATGTAACTATAGTACATCTAACTTTGTATATTAAGAAGTGAAAAAGACTAGAGAAATCTTTGAAATGGTGGCAGCACAGGCTAATTTCTCAGTTGCTTAAGAATAAGGGACCATTAATGGAGGTGGAACTAATTATGCATAAATTCACCACTTATAGCTGTACCTTTGTGATCCTTTAGCAGTTCACAAAGCTGAATAAAATCCAGGTTGAGGGGCAAGGCCATATAAAATGGAACCAGTGCTCACTTCAGCAGCACATACACTAAAATTGAACGGAACAGAGAAGGTTAGCATGGACCCTGTGCAAGGATGACATGCAAATTCATGAAGTGTTCCATATTTTTATTGGTGATTACAAAGTAGTCACAGGGATTTAAAGTACAGCATAGGGAATGTAGTCTGTAATATTGTGATAACTATGTATAGTGCCAGGTGGGTACTGGAAATATTGGGGGGACCACTTTGTAAAGTATGTGATTGTCTAACCACTATACTGCACACCTGAAACTAATACAAAATAATATTGAAAGTAAACTGTAATTGAAAAATAAAAATAAAAAACACACAAAATAAAATAAAATGGAACCAGTGTTGAGCCAAGGTAAAAATGTAATTAGTAAAATGTAACTAGTAAAAATTTAGTTGCTTTATAAAATGACTTCTGAAAGCCGATCCTTTATTACCATCTATCATCTGAATAGTCACAGTTGCACAAAAATGGAAATAGCTTAGGTATTTTTGCTGCCTTGGAAAATTATGACTTCATGGTCAGAGTATATCAGGATGGCTTCAGCACTTTTAGTTTCTTAGAAATATTCTAATTATGCATTCCTGGCATCACAGTCACAGGAAAAAGCTAACAGGGACCTCTGTTATGTCTCAAAGTAATCTCAACCTTCCTGTTGTAGTTTATTGCCATAAAACTTACCTAGAGAATTTAATTTCTTGGATGATGTGTTCATGAAACTAACCATGTATTTTGTAGGGCCTTCCTTGACACTTTGGGGTATGCTGTGACTAACTTGTGTATAGTGAGCAATTGTTATGTTGAGAGTTGCTTTTATAAGGCCCAGGGTCATGAGTGATGTGGTATGGAGTATCCTAGCAGTGGAAGCTGACAGCAAAGGCATGACCTTTCTGACTGTGAACAAGATATGCTGCCAGGTACAGCCCCTGACAAACACAGCTTGGTTATTTGAGAGGAGGGGGTCAGGGGGCTCCTGGGGAAATGCTGGACTGACATTGCTGAGACTTGCAGCCCAAGAGCAAAGCTAAAACTCTTCTCCTGCAAATCACTTGCAAACAAAAGAGGTGATCAGAGCTAGGTGTTCTTTGCAGTTGTGTTTCAGCTGTGACAAAAAGAAACAATTCAAGCAAATAATCCAAAATACAGGTGGGATCTCATTGTGGTAAAATCCATTAGTGATAATTACAGTGCAAGAAATAATGAAGCTGGTGCTGTTTCCAATACAGTAAAATATAAGTACAGTTAAACTGAGGCTCATGACACCAGTAAAGTTCCCATCAACATTTAATTTATGTTAATTGTTACCAGAAAAGACTACATTTACCATATTTAATACTCTTGAAATAACTCAATCAGTTTGGTGTATAGTGTTACTTTATAAAACTTTAAAACTGCTTTGCCTTCACAGTTATCGTCCAACTCAGACTTTTTTTGTCCAGCAGAGGTTGTATTTGCTTTCAGAGAATTCTAGTTGGAAAGTCAACTCACTCTGTCCACCCAGATAATGTGAGAGAAAAAGATCAACATCACCTCTAGAGCTGTGTGTATCTTGAATAAAGCTGCTTGTTCAAATTCCAATATAACAGGTACAAAGAATTCCTATTATTGGAGCTTTCCCCTTTGTCTCCCATTGTAGTGCCTATTAATTGAGGTTCAGTTTTGTTCTCTTGTATTTTGAGTCTAAGTACCTTTTTAAACCCTATATTCATCAGAATAGCAATAAACTCAGTGTTTTCCTGAGGTCTTACAGGTGTTTAATGGTGATACACACTCACATGCAGTAGTCTGTCTGTTGCACATGCACACACACAGACACACATTTTTCCATTTTATTTGGACTAAGACTTACTGAAAATATTTAAGTGTTTATAGATGAGTATTTTTTTAAAAAATTTTGTTACAATAAAATTTGTGTTAAAAAAAATACATGATTCCTAAGTGTATAACTCAGTGACTTTTACCCAGCAAATTACACCCATGTAACTAGCAGGTATGTGTATATTTTAAATAGAAATTTCTAGAAAAGTAAAGGACTTTTAAGTGTTTTCTATGTAATGGCAATATAGATGTCAAATGATACAATGTTCATCTTTTTCACATAACTTACTGAAGACATAATTTTTATGGGGAAAAAACAAGGTAAATAGATTAATTTTCCTTAAGGAAGGCGCTTTTATTTAAATGTACATGTAAGGAAGTGGAAAGATGTGTTTTGGTTATGAGTGTCACTTTGTGTCATTGGATACTCATATTACTGGAATAAGTAATAGCTTCAACTTAGCTTTTACTTTTTATTTTATTTTTATCTTTTATTGATTTTTAGAGAGTGGAAAGGAGAGAGAGAAACATAGATTTATTGTTCCACTTTATTTATGTGTTCATTGGTTTCTTCTTGTATGTGCTCTAATTGGGGATTGAACTTGAAACCTAGATGTATCGGGATGGTGCTCCAACCAACTGAGCTACCTGGCCAGGGCAGCTTTTACTTTTTATAGCATTTAGTTTCACTTTCTCTGTTCATCTTTATGGTCTTAAATGCCCAAATTACCCGTTTTTCCTCTTTTTCTTCCTGACAAAGTTTTAAAAACCACTTGTTTGATTTTGCAGTAATGTTAATATGTGTAACATTTCTGCTTCTCAGAAGCATGTGACTTGTGTTCTCAGTGCATGGTGGGAGGCTAATAGGTGTGAGGGTGCTCACTGCACTCAGAGTACAGGGTGTGCAGGGAAAGTGGGGCTTGGGGGAGCCAGGAGCTGATTCAGTGGCTCTCAGTCCCTTAGAATAACAAAGCAATTTATAATGTATGTCCTCTGGAGGAAGACTGGTGAGAGATTTCCTTCAGACTTGTACATTAGGAAATGCTTTGAGCAGTTGCCATGTGCTTTTTTTCTCTGGACAACCTGCATCCCGACCTCCTATAGCCTCCCTCATTGATTTGCTCGACGGGTTCCAAGTCTGGCAGCTTTGCAGACTCTTTAGGGCCCTCACCTGGTGTGCTAGGTTCCTCTGGTCCTGAATTTCTGTTAGTGTAATTTTCCTAATTCTGATTTAATATTATATGTGTTTAAGTGACTTAAATTTATAAAGGAGTGAGGTTAGGAAGAAATGTAAACAAACAAATCGATTTATTACGCCAAATTCAGCAGAAGAAAAAAGTCAATGGTCAGGATGTGTATTCAGAGCCAGGTTTCCTGAGAACAATGGTGATAGTACCGAGAAAGTCAGGGTGATCTGGTTAGTAGGAAAAGGGGGTGAATTCTTTGCATTCTCAAGCTAAAAAGTACAGTAATTCAAGCTTCTCAACTATCCTATTCAAACTTCTCAACCATCCTATACATTACTCTTCAACCGTGGTCTTTTTGCCAAATGAGAGAGACCTGCAGAGGGTCGAGGCCTGCTGGACCCTCAGATTCCCTGCCCCCCTCATACACCTGGTGTTTGAACTGCCCTCGGGCCAACCACTCTTCTGGTTCTGAGCACTGGCCACACACAACCTCACTGAAACCATACATCAGTGGTTTGACATGGGCTCCAGTAGTCCTCCCAGCATTTCAGAGGGAACTATGGCTTGGCTTTAGGCGTCACACAGGTGGCTGGAGCTCTACCCTGCCCACTCCCCGCCCCATTGTTCCTGACTTGTGTCCCCAGTAGGTACGGGTTAGATGCCCTTGTTTCATGCATGTGAGAGGAAGGACTGCAGTGCTCCCTTAGTGTGGCCCATGCGCCCCGCTTGTCTTCTCACTGTGGACTACTGCGGCCATGTTAGTGCTGTGTTTGCTGACATGTGACCCATCCCTGGGGTTTATTCTCTAGGATTTCTTCCTGCCTGGCTCTGGCCCCTCTGCAGCCTACTAGGCTGGTCCTTCCTGGGGAGCCCTCTCACTTTTCCCCTGTGCCCCATGGCCTGGCCTGTTTCCAGGCACTCACCCAATGACTTCTTGTGGGGTACTTGATATATCTTGTTTTGTTGGCTGGTAATGTTGCTTCCCACCTCCCTGTGTCTGGTTTTGGGCATCTCTTATGGTTCAACTTGAATTCTTGTTACCACAAGGTCTTCCTGATTCTTCCAGCTGCATATGAGCTGCTCCTGTCCCATCATTTATTTCTAACTCCTAAGGGGCCTGTGTTGGCAGATTACTGTGCCCTGCCCACTGCTGTGTTGTGTGCAGTGCTCCCAGGGCCAAATGCCTGTGAGATGTGCTCAGTCAGAGGTGAAAAGAGAGCTTTGTAAAGATGGGCCCATGGACCCACCCCAAGTCACTCGTCAGATACTGGCATGGACAGAAACATGACTTTGCATCATTTACTTTGTTTAGCTTTAACAATGTGCAGCATTAGGAAAGCTCTAGAGATGCCAACAGAAAGGCTAACACTGAGCCTCCTTTCCTTTATCTCATTGACAAGATTCTGCCTCAGGATTACTTCACTGTAATATAGGCATTTTGCTAATGAAAAAGATAAAGTCGTCCCTCTTGGACTGGGACGACTTTTTAGTGTTACTGAACACCCAGTGCTGCCCTGAAATATTAATAAGAGGAGAAGGGAAAAAAAAACCACTTTAGTTTAGGAATGTTAGTAATGTCACAGGAAATTGTATTACAATGGATTTTGGGTGTAGCAGTTCCTTGCCCCCCCCCCCTTTTTTGTCTTTAAAATTAAATTTGGCCCTGCCAGAAGATAAACTGTATACCTTTTAAAAGTAGGATTTAAAATTACTTTGACAAGATACAAATCTTACCTTTGTACCATATTCACCTATCCCACTTCTCCCTAGTTACTAAAATAGTATGTGTTATTGTATAAATTTGGAAAATACAGAAAAGTATAAAAAAAATAAAAATTGCCTATAATTCTGTTAGCCTAGATATGACCACTCTGGACATTTTGGTATAAAAGTGGCCAAAGTTTTTTCTAATGAAAGGAAATTAAGAAGAGTGAGGAGGGATGTGCCAGTGGTGACAGGTGGAAAAGAGTTGATCACAGAACAATATATACAACATGATCCTAATTCTTCTGTTACAAAATTTGCATGTGTACATTTCATTATCTAAGGTGCCACCAAGCCCAGTCAGTTCTCTTTCAGAGTGTGTCTCCCACTCGTCCAGCTCCCTCTGTCCCACCACCAAGCCTTCATCTTCACTCATTCAGATGGCAGTGTCTCCTGACTGTTCCTTCTTCCCTTCTCCCCGTCTGTTCCCTGCACAGAGCCCTCCAAGTGATCATCCTGAAATGGAAAAGAGTTTGTTATTTCCCTTCTGGAAACCCTTCCCACTGTACTTGGAATGGAGTTTTGGCTGGGCAGGCAGGGCCCACCCTGCGGCCTCTAGTCACATCGCTTTACCTGCAGTTGGTGCTCTGGCCCATCCAGTTTTACTGCCTTTTCACAGACTTTCCTACGCTGGCCCCTGCCTGGGTAATGCCTACTGCTTCTCAGAGGCTTGTCTTGATGTCCTAGACTCAGAAAGTCTTTCTGATTCCTGAGTCTAAAACAGAGCCCTCTGTTTTGTTCTTGCTCATTACATTGTAATTTCCCTTCCATAACATTCATCAGAATTTGTTACTAAGTAGTTGTGTATTTTGTTTAATATCCATCTCTCCTTTTATATTTCAAGCCCAATGAGGCAGTGGCTTTGTTCTGGTCACCATTTTCTAGGATCTAGAACTGTGTAACTTCTCAAAAATATATGATGAATAAATGAAAGGATAAACATTTTGTTATAAATATTTTCATTTTTTAAAAAAATTTTTATAGATTTTTTTTTTTTTTTTTTTTTTTGAGGACAGAGGGAGAGAAAGGAGGAAGGGAGGGAGAGAGAGAGATTTGTTGTTCCACTTATTTATGCATTCATTGGTTGCTCCTTGTTTGTGCCCTGATCGAATCTGCAACCTTGATATATGCTCTAGCCAACCGAGCTACCTGGCATAAATACTTTCATTTTTACTTACTTACTTATTTATTTTTAATCCCCATCTGAGGATATTTTTTCCATTGTTTTTCAGGGAGAGTGGAAGGGAGAGGTAGGGAGGGAGGGAGGGAAGGAAACATCGATGTGAGAGAGACACATTGGTTGCCTCCCAAACACACCCCACCGGGGCATGGATCAAGCCTGCAACCGAGGTTTGTGCCCTTGGCTGAAATCGAAACTCGGGACTCTTCAGCCCTCAGGCCAATGCTCTAACCACTGAGCCAAACCGGCTAGGGCTACTTTCATTTTTAACATCTGCATTTTATTCCATGTTCAAATAGATGTTCTATAATTTATTGTAAATAACTGGTGTTAAAAAGCAAACTGAGGCATATTAAAAATGTTAAGAGCTTGAGCAAAAATTGATTTTAATCAGGCAGCACCAAAGTGGAGGTGGCTAGGAGCACTTTGCCCACTGAAGCTGGGGAGATACTTTTATAGGGAAGAGGTGGAAGCAAAGCAAGGAGACCATTTGATTGGCTCTAGCTTAGGGGCTGCCTCATTTGGGAAAGGCAAGTAGGCTGTTTGTGATTGGTTGTCCTTAGGTTTTGGTGTTTTAACCTTGAGGCACTTACAGGCTTAGGTTTGGGTTTGCCTGTGTGGGCTACCGAGGCATTAG